TTTAACGGAAGAGAAGGATAGAGAAGGATAGGTTGGTTGAGCCCCTTCACGACCAGGTGACGAGCGTTCTGGTATAAATTTCACCGCGGAAATCATGGGCAAGCGTCGCGGTACCGGTATAACTTCCGATTCCTGCATCGGTGCATTACACTTTCGGAGGCAGACGAGCGTCAGTTTCAAATATTTAGGATCGGGCGCCGCCAGACGATCCCAATATCCATCCGCGTCTCCAAACAATGGAAGCGAAAACTTTCACCAACAAGACACAATCCAACTTGTTGTTGTTCCAGGAAATACTCGTATCTGTCCGTGAGTGTAAAACGCTCGAGTCCCCCGATTCGTCTTGGTCTGGAAACGGTTAAACCTCGAGATACGTATCTTTATTAATGCCAGATTTATTTCCACGCGAATAAATTATCCTCTGGTGGAAGTTTGCGCCAGTTCGCGTGATAATTATTATGACGTTATCTTTTCGAGCAGCTCGGTGATACACGCGTTCGTATTTTCTCTGAAATGTGTATATATATATATATATATCCTCGCTCGAGAGAATCTGATAAAAGTTTGAGAAAGAAACTGTTAAACCGACTTGATTTGAATTAATAAAAATCTAGGTAGGGTTTTAATTTTATTTACAGAACGGAAATTAGATCGAAAAGATTAACTGAAAAGGAGAATCGGAAAGATTTGAGGAAATTTATCAACAGATTTCAGGTTGGAAAAGTTTATTCCTTTCGAAGAAAGGGAAGAGATCTTGAAGGGTCACAGGGCTTCGTTAACGGCGTATTTTCTACTTCTTCGCTAGTGGTAAACTCGTTGTCTCGGATCGTTAACCCTCTGCTACCCTCGTGCTAGCCTCGATTATAGGCAAAAAAAGTCAACTAATCGTATCTCGAATCCCCTTTCAAGATGGTGCCACTAAATGCCAACCACGAAAAAATTTCGTAGCTTCTCTCTACCTCGTAAGAGAGGATCCTTACAGACGATTGAGTCGAATTTTATTTCATCTTCTTGACGTCTTCGTTTGCCAAGTCACGACACTCGTCCGTGGATGCGAAACTAGCAGAATAGCTCGATCCTCTTCTTAGACTAGGGAAATTTTTAGATCGCCTTCCGATTTCATCGAAATTGGCAAACTTATTTTCTTTTGATCAGAAATATTTTCACCCTCGTTTCGCCGTGTAAATTAATTCCTTATCGCCATTTTGATTGTTATAGAATTTAACGTTTATTGAAATTTTATTGCCAGCAACATCACTATTTCATAGTTGGTATCTGTTTGTTCTTCTTCGATACTTCAAATGTTTCGTAAACAGATCCTCGCAATTACGTATATTTTATTTGTCGTTTTTTCAACCAACATTGATTCTACAATGAAACGTAGAAAAAATAATAAGAAACAAATATCGTTAATCGTTCTTCATAAATATAATCAAGTTTGACGAATTTTTCTTCTTTTCATTTCAATTTCGATTCTCCCAGTTCTTCCCCTCTTCTTCGTTCCAATTTTCCAAATAGTCAAAAGAAGAAAAACTCCGATCGAAAAAAAATCGGACGACGCTCCAATCGTCCGAACTTTCCTTCCAAAGTCTGTTCGAGAAAGAAACCCTTTCCCTCCCTTTCTCTTGGCGCATCGAGCCAGCCACGGGCTTCGAACCTTTCACCCCCGATGAAGCCAACTCGATAACGCGGATCCAAAGCGACTCGACCCGGCATTTGAATAGATCCCTTTCCTTTGGGTCGCTCGGAGCAGTGTGCTCCGCGACGGAGTCGCCCCCGTAACAGCCACTCCCAAGTCTGCAGTTTTGCGGATTTCAGCGGAGTGGCCGCGCTATTATTGGACTGCCGGATTTTCGCGGAATCAGCGTAATCTCGCTCTCCAACCGAATATTTTCCGCCTTGGCTCCACCCCTCGTGATCGCCTATCCCGTGTAAACCGTGTAATTTATAGCGAGCCGCTCCTTTCTTCTCGACGCGTTGTTGTTCTCGCAGCTGCGTGCAAATTGGAAGAAGGAGATAGGATCGATTTTTCGGAAATTTGTGCGCAGGATAATGGAGGAAGGGTCGTTGATTCTTTGGACTCGAGAAGTCTACTACTGTTCAGAGCACAAGAGGTCGATGCTCGAGTGATTCAAGTTTGCATATATAATGAAACAACATATGGTGAAAGATGGACAAGCATTTTTGGATCGATGCAATGCCGCTTCGAAGATCGATTTGAAGATGAAGTCGCTCGTTCGACAGCCTTAACCCTTTTCACAACGCTCGCAGATATTCGATACGAGATGTTTATTCGACTCGAGCGTCTCAGAGCAATCGAGGGGGGTTAAATCGACCTCGGTTAAATCAGAACCGAGAGAGAGAGAGAGAGATTAGCACATCTCTGGAGTACATCGTGCGAATCTGGCCGCGTACGAATAGCACAGGTGCACAAGTTCCGAAATTATCCCTCCGTGACGAGCCTCCTTAATAGCTTCTCCCCAAAGCTTCCCCGCGGCTAGCAGCACGCCGTGCTCACTCGTCGTAGACGCGCAAGTAAATAATTCATCGATTTCACACAGTGTGAATCGATCATTAAGACAGGCTTGGCTGCCAATCGGCTTAGGAGGGATCCGCAGGGGCCGGTTACAAGCTGAGAGATTAGTGGTTGGAGGGGATCCCTGGTGAAATTTCACCAACGATACAAATGTCCACACGCGACACAGTAGCCCTTGATGTTGAGCAGCGGTATCTGGTATCTTCGTTCGTTCGATCATCGTCGTCGAACAACATCGTCGTCCTCAACTCGCCTCTCTCACCCCGCACTCTCTCACCACTACTCGTGCTGCTAGTGCATACGTAGGCATATTGCGAGTCACCAGCGGAGCATCAGCGTAGATAGACGGCATAGTAGTTGGCAGACCTTTAAGTAGAACGCGATAAGAATAACATCATCAATCTGCCGCACCATCTGCTCGCATCATCATCATCCATTAGCGTTCTTTTGCATCGTTTAACCCCTTCTCATTTCACGCCTGGAAAAAAGTAATTTCCGGATTACGAGCTCTGCGAGCTTCTCGTTCGATTGTGATCGCCACAATGACATGGACGACAACCTCGCAAAGCGTGATGCTATTATTTCGAGGATCATGCGTAGCTCGAGCAACTTTGAGGAACCTTTTTCAGCTTGATCCGGTGCAGCGCTGTTCACCGAGGGAGATTTGGCCTCTTAATTTTTAAAAGTGGCATTTAAAGAAGGTCTCGAGTTTTCATTCGATTCCGAGTTTTATTCCGCGTGAACAGCACTGTCCTAAATTAGATAAGCCTAAGAATTTCATTTCAGTTTCGCTGCCTTTATAGTACTCGACATCGATTCATGGACGACCGATTCAAAGATTCTCCATCTTAGTTTTGCCTTTCGACGACACTTTCTACGAGCCTGGAACAGTAGCCTAAACTTGTTTCAAACCTCCATTCTCCGCTAGTTTTTACGCTCGAACGGACACACAGCACAGATATCCATGTATGCCTGTAAAAGCTGAACAGCACTATAGCCCCCCCCCCCTTGCTACCCGTAATAGCTTCGCCATTGCTGCCGAAACGGCAAGCTGAACCCTGTTAATCTGATACCAGTAGCTTTCAAGCGTAGAACAGAGAAAAAAGAAAAGAAGAAATGCATAGCGTACAATAGCGATCAATTTAAACAACGTAGAGAATCATCCGCTTGTCGAATTATTCGTTCACTTGCTGCCTCACCCCCTCCATTAGGAAGCACCCCTTTCTCCGCGATGGAAGAGTAAAGAAAGACAGGCCTAGAGAAGGATCGAGAATCGAAATATACATTTTCCAACAAGACGACTATGTTGCTTTTTGTCTATTGTATTGATCTATGATTCCACCCACCCTGTCTCTCTCTGGCTTTCGCACGAATGCACCGGGTGATTTTGAAGCGTTTGTCGCGGTTTTAAGGAACTTTACGACGCAAGGTACGTTCAGGAAAGGTACGAGAGACAAAAAAAAAAAAAGAAACGACAAGTTTGGCGAAAGTCACGCGATTTCACATTGAGCAATCGCGCAACTTTCATCGAGAGCATCCTGTCCTTCGTGAACGTGGTTGCTTTGTTGTTCGATGAAGTTTGGCGGGAAAGATTGGCAAACTGGATGAATCACCCTGTGTACATGGATGATTTAAAAGGGAAAATCGATGCCTGGTGTATCCGTCATCCGGACAGACGCCACGTTTTGAGGCCACTTTTCAAGACTGGAAGATAAAATAATTCTGCTTTCAGAGATTCGAAGAACGGATGGATACTCTTTGACCTCAAAGACTCTCTTAACCGGATATTCGGTTAAAGGTGTGTCTTTGATTGAACGAAATAATCGTGGAGACAGAATTTTGCGAAAGAGGAGGGAGAAGAAGGTTCCGTCTTCATGATTATTCAGAACGTGGGATGATTCATAAGTATGTATGTCCATGTTTCAAGAGTGAATCTGTTGGAAATAATCGCGCGAATATATAAATAATCTGCGTGCCTCGCTGCGAACGTGAAGTTTATACGAAGTTACAAAACTCGTATAAACTTCGCAGAATTATTCGATCTAATATCTAAGATCGAGAACGAATAACGAGATTTCAAATTTTTACATATGTTGTTACGATATACAGATTTATCTCTTCAAAATTTGAACAAGCATTTACGAATCATCTCATTTAAAAACAAGAAACTCTGCTTTTCTTTTTTTTTTTTTCTTTTTTTAATCAAAGCATCAATCTTTCCCTTTAAATGATCCCGTGTGCCGTCTCTTCTCGTGTGTTCCATACAGAGCCTATTACAAATTCATTCGTTCAATCGCAACTTGCACCTGTTAATAATAACCACTTCTCTCTCTCTCTCTCTCTTTTTCTCTCTATCTATCTAACTATCTCTATCTCTCTATCTCTCTATCTCTCTCTCCACTGTGTCTAAGCATTACTATAAGAGTGCTGTAGTGGAATAACAAGGTGATAAAAACACGCCCAGTTCCCCTGGTGGTGCAAATCGTCGTCGACGACAATGCCGACGACGCCTCCGCCTCCAATGGCCACGGTGCCCGGCCCGGGTTCTGCCTCTGGTTCCGGTTCACAGGGCGCCCAGGGCGTCTTACTCTGCCCACGTACGCTGTCTCAGGTCCGACGATCACGGCTACGAAGGGCCCTCACCGAGGCGACCGCCGAGACCGTCAACTACGTCAAGACGGTGGGCACGATACTTAAGACTAAGCCTGATACACATACTTATCTTATCTCAAACCACCCACTCTACACGATTATTATTTGTATTTAGAGCAATTTTTTCCTATTATAGCAATTCGTTCGCACACGCACTGACGCACGGTCGAACGGTGGAATTCCTTTCTTTCTTCAAGAATGTCGTATCACGCAAGAGATTTCTTGGGATTC